GCCAGTTTTCACGACGACCCTATTCCTGCTTCACCATCACCTCTTTCTAATTTTTCTTTTTAATTAAACCAAAACGTGGGAATGTTAGTAATCTGTTAAACTCCACCTCCACAATCACCTGGCAATAGCCAGGTATGCTTCTCCCCGCAGTTACCTGGTATCAGGCAGGTAGGCCTGCCCTCTATAAAAGGGGCTGCTTGGCCCCTCCTCTCTCTCTTAGCCCATTGACCCCGCACCTGCAGGTTCCCATCTCCCCTCCCCCCTTCCCTTCCCTCTCTCTCCACGTGGTCATGGCTGGCCTCCACTTCTCTACTCTTCTCTCTCTTCTCCCACTCTCCCACTCTCTTAATAAACCTCCTCTCGTGGAACCATCTAGTCTGCTGTGATCTGTTACAAGCTGCACCATGACAAACTTTCAGTATAATTCAAAGTAAATGATCCTGTCGACAGTTCTTTATTCTGTGTTTTCATCAGTCCAGAAAGCTAACTCAAAACTAGTGATATCTGAGCACTTATTCAGGGTCCACTGTAGTAACCTGTAAAGCTTGAATGTGAAATCAGGTACTTAACATTGTGGTCTTAGATCATATTTTACTGGCAATATCTTACCTGCAGGTTTAAATATTTTTACTTGAGTATGCAATAAAACAAAACAAAAACAAAAACTGGCAAGCTTTATCTAAAGAATTCTTATTTCTCATCTAGCAACTATTTTTCAGTTTTAATGCATAGTAATATTTTGATTTCTTTAATTCTGTTGTATCATGGTGAATAATGCCTAAGGCACATTGCTAATTGAAACTTTACCTCTAACATAGGTTTGCCACTATATTTTAAGTGATCTTCAGTCAATGTTTACAACCAGAGCTCCACAAGGAAAATCTTTTCCCCTAGTTCTTCAAATCCTCATTTAGAATCTTCTTTAATACCTTTTTGCTTGTTTGTTTGTTATATTTTGTTTTGAAAGATTTCTCGGAAAATCACAAGATATTTGGAAACTCATTGCTTTAGAAGATCATGGGTCATTCATAACATTGAATTGATACGAAAGCCTAAGTGGTCTGCCCTTTTCAGACAAAAATATGCTAAACCTTTATATCCACAGTCTAAATCTAACATGTTCTATCTTCCAACCCAGACTTATTTAAATAACTCAATTCTGAAGTTCAGAATTTTAGCAAATGAAAAAGTCTTCACACAAATATAATACCTCAAGGAAAAAGCAAGCTCTAAAATAATTAGCATTGTAAAACTCTGGCTTTGGATTCCTGTACACTCACTTTGTGTTTGCTTGTTGTAATTTTGAATATCCAGGGGATGTGGAAACATTCACCTCTCTAGTGAAGAACTTTAAAGAGCTTAGCCAGGTCTGTCTGTTGTTATTTCCTACCAAGAGACTGAATACTGACAGCCTAAAAGAAACAGGCAAAGAATGGCCACCCAGGTGAGCTTCCAGTAAATAATGTTTACCTAACACCTTTTAAGACACTGTAGTGGTTTGAATAAGAATGCCTCCCATAGGCTCATATAGGTGTGGCCTTGATGAAGTAGGTGTGATCTTGTGGAAGGAAGTGTGCTCCTGGGGGTGGACTTTGATGTTTCAGAAGTACATGGCAGGCCACTCGTTCTCTCTCCCTTTGCCTGCCTGTGAATCTCTATGTAAATTTCAGCTGCTTCTTCAGTGTCATATGTACCATCATCTTCCCAGCCCTGAATGGTAATGGACTAAGGTACAGAAAGTGTAAGCAAGCCTCTGGTTAAATACACTCTTTTATGAGAGTTGCCTTGGTCATGATGTCTCTTCACAATGATGGGATAGTAACTAAGAAACATTCCAACTACACTGACAGCAGAACCATTCATAGGGATTGATATGTACTGTCCTTCTTTCCCCATTTAGGCCACCCTAAACCAACAAATGTTTAGAAGGCTGTCTGAACCAAAAATTCACTGAAGGCATCTATTCATCGCCAGGACTTTCTGTCCATTGACAGCTTATTTTGCTATTTGTTCTGCTTTCCTCTTTCTGTGACCATCAAAAATGTTGCCATTTTTTATTCTTCCTCATTCAATACCCTTCTTTGATAGTCCTGTTAGATTATGGCATTCATTCGAGTAAACTTTCAGGAAGAACTGTCAAATCACCCCAATTTTAAAAGCTGTATGATTTTATTAATTTTATTGTTTGATAATTAAATACAAGAATACAAAGTGTTCTGATTACTCTCTGCCCAAATTCTTCTTTATTGCCCTTTTATATTGGTCAATCCTTCTTACCCACTCCTATATCTTTTCAAAGCTCATGACTTTGAGCTTGCTTTCTGACCTGTTTGGTTTAGGCAGGTGTGTCTGTGTGATTATTTATTTGGAAGTATCCATTAGAACCTGGTGGAGTTATCAATAGCTACACAACTCAAGGCAATAATTTAGTCACTCCCTGAATGCATCAGTAGTTAACACTTTATCAGCAGGAGTAGAGCTCTCTCTACCCTCTAGCCTGATTGTTGATATATCCATTCTTGGCAGGTACAGTGCAGCAGGCATTCACAGATCAGATGAGTTCAATATTGCAATAGTACATCTTGCCCAGAAGGTGACATGTCATGGTCCTACTAGCTCTTACATTCTTCCTTTCCCTCTTCCTTAATCCAATACCTCAGTCTTAATTTGAAACAGTACAGTGTAAGAAGAAAGCATGGATCCCTTTTTCTCCACAATAGGGAAGCTCCCTGATGTGGCTTCATCCTATTTATTCTCAACCACTGTTCCCTTTTCTTAATCCAAGATGATTAGCAGCATGTGGACCTGTGAGTTAAGAAGGGCAGGGAGAAATTCTGCTATGGAAAGAATAAGGCATCTTTCCCATTTCTGCTTGCTGTTTCTAGCTCAGTTATAAGACTCTTTGTCTCTGTTTACATACTTCTATCTTCCTTGGCTGCCTTGCTGTTCTTGTTCAAATAGAAGGTGAAGTTAAACTTAAGGTTACCTTCCTCCCATTGGAATGGAATATCCTCAGACTTGGTAACTGGAGGAAGGTTCCTATTTGATGATTTAGTCTAGCCATAGATGTAGTTAATGTTTATAAGTAAATGTGTCTGGATTACTTATAAAAAATACATTTGAAAACCAGACAAGTTCATTCTAATACAGATAATTGCTTGAATATTTTCATGGGAGATTCACCAAAAGGAAAGTCATACCAGGAAACTTTTGTGTTTGGTTTATGGGTTTGGAGGAAAGTTTTTTTCTCCTGGTTTAGACATCCTTCAATGAAGCCTTAAGATACATTATCCATCCTTACTTATATCACACTTGAATAGACTCTAAAAGACTCTTAACATTTGCCTTCACTTGTCAATTATCTTAGTTTTATTGTCAGCCCTAATTTTATCTATAAAAGAGGGTTGAGGAGTCAAGAAGCACAGTCATGGTAGAAATCAAAATTTTTGTAAGTGTAGTAATTAGTAACTAGATATAGAGAAGACAAAGAAGAGAATGGTACATTTATGTATTACAGACATTAACAATTCCTCTTTGGATTGGAGCAGGGTTGCTTTACAGTGAATGGCTAACTTTGACTAATGCTATTCTAGTCCTATCTGAAATGAGGTTGTAAAGAATCAACTGATATCAGAGTTTTAGTAAAGATAACAATTAGTAACTAAAGGTTGAGAAGATTAAGAAGAGGATGGTACCAATGATACATAGTGTACATTCTGAATGTTCTACCTTTCAGAGCACTTTTCCTATACCCTTCCAACTCTTTCTGGAAGAAGTTTCAAAGAAGCTGATATCTATACTTTCACTTTGATATGTGCTGACACTAGTTTGTTGATTTCCTTAGTGCTAACTGCTATGCCATCCTTTTATAATATTTTTAATTTAGTATCTAATGGTTTTTATGCATGTTTTAAACTTAAAAATCTGCAGAAAATCCCATATATAGACATAGATACAATCATTACCTACGCAAATGCTCCATCCCATCAGCACATCTTGCACAGACTTTGTTTTGAGACAGTACACATACATACAATACCATACACAAGCATTTGTTAGATTTCTGAAAATATGTTAAGCAGTGAGCAGAAAATCTTTCTGTAAATATACTAACCAGAAGTGTAAAAGACCAATGAAGGCATTCCAAAGCAAGTCAAATGAAAAATTTTTCTTTTATACTTTGCCAAACATATCTCTCCCCAGAACAATTAAATAATGTTACAGTATGTAAGACATAAAGAGATCTTGAATTTTATGATTTGATCTTGCTAATTAATCAAGCAGAGTGAGGTAGTCATTAGAACCCTAATGTTCAGCATGATCCGTATGTATTCAAAGCTGAAAGCAGATAGATAACTTAGAGTCTTTGGCTGCCCTGTGAGGCTGACTGATATCTCACAGTTATTGAGCCTTCAATCTTGAGATCTTAAACATCTTTTAGATACACAGATATGGAAATAATCGATCTAGTCAACACCCCACTGGCATCTGCTGGAGAATTAGTGATAGAGTCATTCAGTTGATATGTGATGGACCAGAAATCAACTAGTGTTCTGGGATAGTTGTCACTGATAGAGAAAAAGGACTCATGCTTGTTTTTCCTCAGTGCTCTAATTTTAACAAGCTTGCAGAGCCAGTTTGCTCAGAAATAAGAAGCTACTTGTTTTGTTTTGTGTTGCTTTGCTTTGATGCTGGGACTCACCCAGCTAGCCTGGAACTTGTTGCTTAGACGAGGGTGGCCTGGAACTCATGGAGATTCATCTGCCTCTACCTTTCTCTTAAAAGTTCTGGGGTCAAAGGAGAAAGTCACCATCCCAGGCTAGAAGCATTTTAAACTGGAAATTACTTCTGAGAATTGAAATGAAAACATTGATAATATGCCCAAACTCTGGTTTAAGCAGCATTAAGGATCAAAATATTTGTGCTAAGTCACATAAATGACACAAAGTCTTGGCAGACTGAAGGTTAGAGATCTCCTAATGTAGAACATTAAGACTTACCCCTGTCTGTATCATACAGGAAGACAAAACAGTTCCATTCATAGTGATCCAGGAGGCTCAAGAGTGCACCTCTCAATGATGGTCTTAGCTGAAGCACGAACTGGCTCTCCCCTTCAGTGGGGAAGCTTGGTGTGATGAGAGAGATGTGCAGAGCACTGCAGAACGAGGTCAAGGTATGTACTGACCTCTTGTCATAGAGTCCAAAAATGGCAAACACTCCTCTAGAATACTGGGAACAGACTGTGGGAAAAACAGACAGAGAAGCCAATCACCAACTCTTATCACACTCTGAAACTGCACACTTTAAGTCTACAGTCTATGAAAGTTAAAAGAAAATGAGCAAATTTTAGTAATATATAGTAAAGAACACCGGAAATGTGTGCATTTGTTGGACAGTAAGTTGTGAGTTCTTGAGTTTCTTCTGACAGCAAGGTCTGTGTGAATCTGGCTTAAATTAAAGCCTTGCATTAAGAAGCCAATTTGAGTTAAAGAGGAAATTGACTAAACTAAAGTAAGTAATATAGTAATATGCAGCCCTATAAAACATCTCAAATCCAGTACTACAGGCTTTTAAGAATGACAGATATAAATTTTTCTCTGTATTTTTTCTTGCGTGAAAACAGTAAAAACATACTTTGACATTTTTAGTAGGAATCCAAGACTGTTGCCTGCTTCCTGTGCTATTTGTTTGCCTTATCTATTTTTGGACTACATTTGATAAACAAATTGCTAACTTTTTATTTCCAACTTTACTCTATAGGAATTTCATCTTTCTTCACAACCTTGAAGTCTGCTTGAATCATGTTTCAAAATAGAAATTGGGTTTCAGAGGAAGACAATTTTTAGGGCATATAAACAGCTGAGTCAACTGGGAGTAACAGTGTAACTATAACCCTAAAGCAATTGTCCCAACCCTTGAAAAGGCCTGCCTGGAGAAAAAAAAATGACATCCTCTTCACCTTCACAGTTCTTGCAAGGATAAGAAGGCCCTGCCACCAAGTGTAAGAGACTCTATACTCTTTTTAAAAGGTGTGTTTTTGCTTATTACAGCATGGCTAATTTATAGAACATACTTAGGTGACATTTTTGTGTCTACACTTTAAAAGACACAGGATGACAGTCAGTGGGTGACATCAATCTTCTCTCTCTCTCTCTCTCTCTCTCTCTCTCTCTCTCCCTCTCTCTCTCTCTCTCTCTCTCTGAGTGTGTGTGTCTATCTGTAGCTGCTCTGTGTTTGTATCTTTGTTTACACAGTAAAACAAAACTGTATTGTAAATTCTTATATTGTAAAGTCTTATTTCTACTTGGTTTATATCTCAAGGCAGAGTAGTTTTTAACGCTAGAATATATTTACATTTTGGGTTCTTAGTTAATATTTTTAATTGTGCTAAATTCATTAAGAAATTCAAGAATAATGGATAATTTACAGGTATTCATACAGTTTTAGTTTACTAAGAAATGAAGAATTAAAATATTTATGTTTTCTTGTGTATATGAGTATTTTCTTGCATTTGTGCTTGTACTATGTGTGTGTGTGGTGCTCACAAGGGCCAGAAGAGGGATTCAGATCCTCTAACTATAGCTCTTGATGCTATGTGGGTACTGTGAGCTCAATGTGGGTCCTCTGCAAGAGCAGCAAATGCTTTGTTATTGTTCTAGCATCAGTAAGTAATGAAAATTTTAATAAAATGCTAAAAGTTCTTGAAATGTGTACTATAAATTAATATTGTACAATTTCTGAGATTTCAGTACGTGTGGTATATAGTGAAATAAATTTTACTAAAATCTAGAGACATATCTTTTATTTCTGTTTGTTTTGTCTCTTAAAATTGGAAATCCAGTATAAATGTTATTATAAGAGTATAAAATTAGCAGAAAATAGCTAAACATTGATGAACTTTACATAGCACACATGGGATATTTTTAAAAACAGTAGGTTTAATAAAGGACCAAAAACTATGTTTAGTTGAAAAGTTCCAAGATAGAATTTACATGGAGATATAAGGAGAAAATCAAGACCTTGTAAGTAAGTTTAGATCCTAACAGTGTCACTGCTTAGCCTGACTATTTTAGACATATTATTTTGTCTCATTGGCGTAAATGATAAAATCTAAAATGCAAAAGTTCAACAAAAGTATATAAACCTACTATTCAATAAAGATACATGAAGCAAAACCCAACATATTTTAAGATATCAGGTTCTATGCATGACAATAGTTTAAACAGTTCCATTACTAAATTACAGAATAAGAGTTCTAGAAAATAAAATACATCAGTTGATCTTAAGCCAACACACACCATGTTCAGCTGTTACATAGTAGATACCATTTTGATAGCTACTATAGCAGTTTGTAAAGAAATCCAGTGAAGAAGATCATGTATCTCTAAGTCTGTACTCTTTCAGGAGCTACAATGAACTCCTAGAACACCCTGGCCATTCTCAAAAGCATGCACTGACCAAGTGACTAGTTGTAATTTTCTTGTAACATATATAGCTGTCAGAATAAAAACAATGACATCTTGAGTTTCCATGCAGTTCAATTTCCATGACTCCAGTGATTTAGTAACTCATGTTATAGATCATGTGCTAACCTTATAGATATCCCTGCAACACTCTGCATTCAGTTATGTGAATGCTTCAGCCAGGGCATAATTAATTTCCACATGTACTCTGTTTTTTTACACAAGTTTGAGGCTGACTTTCAGTCTTTGCTTAATTAAAGGCATAACTCAATTCACTTATTTTGTTTGTTTAATTTTGCTTTTGTATACTGACCAGATTTTAATCCAGGTTAAGCATGTATTCTACTGCTGAACTTCATTCCCAATCCATGGTTGAAATAAGTTACATTTTACTCTAGTGAAAATAAATATGTTTATATTATGGCCTAATTTACATAATTTATGATACAAGTCATGGTACTAGTGATTAGCTTTAGAATCCAACCCTTCAGCTTCAGCTTCCATTTTGCTACTGAACCTACATGCAGGCTTTAGAAATTATTCAGGAAAAAGTAGAAACAGTATTTTTCTCATAATATTTCTTGAGGAACTCCAAGTGTTCCCCAGAGGGACTGGTGCTGCATCAGAACCACTGGTGAGCTAGCATGGATGCACAATGCTAGAGCCCTTCTCCTATTGTCCCTCTATCCTACACACACACACACACACACACACAAATCAAGGAACACTCCTACCTTCATCCATGCAAAGTATAAACACCCTTTGCAAAAAGTTTTTGGCAGTAAACAGAATGTTAAGCCTAAGTCATTATGCACCAAGCCACTCTACTGCTAATTCCTGATATCCATCATATAATTTAGATTATTTCCATTTATTTTACTAGTCCTCAATAAATTTAATAACTTCTTCATGTTAATCATATATATGTGCCTCCATTCATTTGCATTATGATCATCTGAATGTTTTTCATAGCTAACTGCCATTCTGCTTCTATTACATTTACTTTCAAAGCATTCTCAATACACACCAATTAACACTGTTTCTGGATGATTTCTACCATCAGCATACATTTGCAAATTTCTGTTTATAGTGTTATTCTTTTGAACATTATCCCCTTGTTTTATTCTAGAGCCCTGGCTTGGCAGGTGAAGTTTATTGTGTCTCCAGTATGTAACAATTGGCTGTCAGTCAAATGTTCAATGTTATTACTCTCATGTAACCCTGAACAATACAATGTTTGGTCAAATAGAATCAAAGTCAATAGCCTAGTAATTTCCATATTTATTATAAATTTCATTACTGAAACACTAAATCAAAATTTCCTTGGTTATCTTCCATACCCATCTACTTGTTGCTTAGAATCCAAATAAGTATCCAAACAGAACATATAAGAGCATATAAGTGCAGCATAATTTAATAGAATAAACTAAGCCTAATAAAAATATTTTCTCAGTGTAGGAGAAACGGAATTCAGTTTTTATATAAATTAATAAACAATAAATAATGCATAGTCTCTGAGTAGACATAATAGTACCATGGTGACAGAAATTTTGTGACGCAAACACTAATTAAAATGAGGTTTTAAAGGAAATAATGCAATCATAAGTTTCAGTGCTTAGTCTATATTTTGCTTCACTAATGAGACAATATGTATTATGTAAATTAGCCAAGAACATAAACACTGTGATAATCCATTCACTTTAGACCTGATGGTGTGAGTGGATTAAATGTATCTTCTCATCAGGCAGTTGCCCAATTTCATTCCACATGCATATTCCAGATAATAAACTAAATGACATTATGGTATAATTTGTGATGAATTGCAGCCTCATATATTTAAGTAAAATGATATGGTCTTAGCTCAGTGGGTTGCAAATTAGAAAACTTGTATTGAATTTGGCATGCCATCAGCAGTGTGGACCAAAAGAAGGCAGTTTCTTCTTCCCATACAGTTCCTATCTTTCTCCTTTTCTAAATGTGTTCGTGATTCGGCTTTATTAGAGTGAAGAACTTCTGCACTTTGTTCCTTCTGTGACCTCACTAAATGCACAGCCTCCTCTTTTGTGGGACTTTTCACATAGTTTCTAATTCATCTATCTCCAATGGTTTCTCATCACCTAAATCTCATTAGCTTCACCTCAAAACATTTATTTTTTAAATTTCTAGTTTGCTGGAATTCTCTGACATATTTTTCACACATTAGATGTGGTTTTCAAATGTTTCCCCTGTCTTGCTTTCTAACACCACAGCTATGGTCTTCTTTTGTCTACTGGGCATGTCTTAACACCTGTTCCTTTAAATTTGGTACACTTTCACATTTTCCACCTTATACTCGCCACTTTTCTCAAAACAGATGACATTGTTTAAGTCTGGGCTTTAAATATCATGTTATCAATTGAATATGAAATGTTCCTCAGAGACTTATGTGTTTAAACACTTGGTCCTCAGATGCTGGTGCACTTTGGGAATATTATAGAACTTTTAGAAGACAGCTCCATGATGGAGAAAGTGGGTCACTGCAGGCAGGCTGGGATTGTCTGGGATTGTTTTATTGTCCAGATTGTCTTCCTTTTTAGTTTGCTTTGTAAGTGTTTGTGCAATGTGAGCCTTCATGCTTTCCCCACTGCAGATACCTGATCTTTAAATGGAAAATGCTTTCTCTTATAAGTTACTTCTCAAATATTTTTGTTACAATACTGACTGTAAAAACTGATCATACGAATTCTTCATGGTATGGCTAAAAAGGTTTTTAATGTATATTTCAAGGAGAGAACAGC